GAGTAAAATCACAATATGACATTAATCCAATGCTATAAAAACACCAAAGAAAATATAAACGACAACAGAAGCAGAACATCAAGGAATCAAAAAGGGGTAAGAATCTAACAACAACAAAATTATCAAATACATTAAACCAGAAAGGTCAAGAAAAAAAGACGAGCAGAAAAACCAAACTGAAAATCACAAATGAAGACAACCAAAGCCGAGGAGCTTAGAGAGCCGCCGATAGAATGGAAGAATCCTGCACCAACACATTAATGAGTTCCAAAGAATTTATAGAAAACAATAACAAAATAAAACACCGGACAAAAAGGGACTATAAATACTGAAAAAAAACACAGGAAAAAATTAACGATGAAGCATGCACTCTAAAAAAACTGCATAAAAACCCAAAGCAAAACAATTAACGAAACCAATGGAGAAGCAAGCAAGAAGAATCGGACAGCCCTGCAACAAGAACACCAAAAAAAACCCAACGTAGATCGCAAATCCAAGTACTCAAAAAATCCTTAAAAGAAAAGGGATAAAAATCCCAACTCTCCACGCAAATGAGACAAAAGGGCCAAAGAGATTGAAGACATAAGAGAACAGATGCAAGATTTCAGCCCAAACCAAGCGAAAGAAATGAATCAGAGGAGGAGAAACAAGAAAAAAAAGACAAAGCGGCGGAGAAAAGTAGAAAGTCCTGGAAGGAGCAAACATAGGGCTCGACACGCGAAATGACCAAAAACCACACGCCAAAGGCAAAAAGCAAACGACAACAAAACTGAAAGACCAAAATGCCCTTGCACCAAGAGAAGAAGAGAGCCGTAAATGGAGGGCAAAAGCGTCATTTCATTGTAGAAGGAATAGTAAACTGGGTATGTGTGAACAGTACCCCTGAGCTCTCCTTTAGTATATTTATAATTTCTTATTAAAATAAATAAATGCTAAACTTACTTATTTATCTTTAGAGCATGTTTCGTACACCGTATAAGCAGTCCGTATTGTATTATTTAAGAATAATACAATGTTTAGCAACATTTTATACATTGTATAATTTAATACGAAATTCAAATTTAATACAATGCATAGTGTGATATCTAATACAGATAAAAACTTATGTATTAGATAGTATTATGCAATTTAATTTTATAAAACATATAAAATATTTTACAAATATCAAGAGTTGGGATCGAGTTTTGGGATCGACGTCGAGGTTAAATTTCCAGATCAAAGTGATGTTAGGTCCATATTTTTCAAAATTACACTTTGACCCCTCAATTTTTTTAAAATTATAATTTAACCCTTAAATTTTTAAAAATTATATTTTGACCCGTTAACTTTTAAAAATTATATTTCCCAAAACTTTTTCCAAATTATAATTTTACCTCACAATTTTTAAAAAATTACAATTTGACCCGCTTTAAATTTTTGTGTGTGCAAAATACCAGGTTGAACAACTCTACCTTCTTCGTTGTTCGCTCCCAATTCAGATTGAGATTGGAGCCGGGTTACGTTTATGATTAGACTTAAATTTTTTCAGATTACAAACTAATACGTAAATACAATATGATGGTAAACATAGTATAATGTAATTTACTTCAAACCAAACACTGTATCGTATAAAAAGTTATATAATACAAGACAATACAATACGGTACACCAAACGTGTTGAATTATTACATACAACCAATTATTATTTAAATGTGTAAGGATATTTTAGTGATTACATTTATAACATTGATATTCTTAATTTTATTAAACATAAGAAAGGGAATGAGATTGTTGTTGGTTTCCGAAACATTTTCGGATGTGGAAGTGTGTGTTTAGCGGATCGTGTATAACAAAAATTTTCATAAAACTTTGAGATGCACTATAAATTACATTAATTTATGTAAGAATAAATTAATCAAATTAATTTATTTACCTAGTGAATGATTAGGACGATCACTTGAGCTTTTTGACCTCGAACGTTCGTCGCTCTAAGCTAGTTAGAACACCTGAATCTTCCTTGTCAATTTCTTGAATTTATGAAGACGTGTGTATGGGCACACCTGAAACAAAACGGGATTAGCGAATAAACACTCAAGTTTTTTCGTGAACACCAACACATGCACAACGTGAAATTTTAGAGAAAATTTTCCTTCTCACACTCTATTGAAAACTGACCACACTTGTATTATCTAATTTTCTGCAATCTCCTATTTATAGAGTAGTAGTAAGACTCCCAGAAGAAGTCTAACTTTTATCTCCAAGATAAAGCTTGATAATTATCTCCAACTTCAAATTTGATTTTTAAACAAAATCTCTGTCCCTTGTCCACATGTCAATTTTGACTCAAATTTCAAATTCCAATTTAAGTCAAACTTAAATCAATTTGAATTTCAAATTAGACTACTTGTCAAATAAGTTAATTTGATATTTTAGAGAACAAGCAACTGAATCCCATTGGGATTCACATTGCGCTGTGCGTTCACACTATGTGAACACCTTCGCATGTGTATTTCAAAATTAAAATTAAAATTTAAAGAATCACATTATTTAATTTATAATTAATTATCCTTGAGCGTTATATTTTAAAATTCCATAATTTTAAAATTTTTATTTTGCCCGTAGTGTCTTGTAGGATTACATGGACGACGCGGACACTCATGGACCTATAATTTCGAGCTCTAATAAAATTAATAATTAATTAAACTCAGTAATTAATTAATTCTAAAAGTTACTCCACTATAAATTTGGAATTGCACTCTCATAATTATTGACATAAATTATTTCTAAACTGTGAAGTGTCCATTTGATATAGTCATTGAATATAGATCAATCCTCTATAAATAATATGTAATTAGAGCTAGTGGAATCCGTTAACCTCTCTAATTACATCTATATCCTTGAGTACCATTGATTCTCTAATGGACAATGATTCATAAAACAAATTCATGAATCGGAGATCCTACTAGTCCAAGTACCGATTCAATCCTCAAGAGAATTATATATCTACTTCTTGCTCAAGAATGAATGGATTGCATATCGTATAATACCATTCCCGACTACTCACTTCATCATATCTCTAAAATACAAGCAATAGGATTCAAGATCTCAAAATTCGTACTGAGTAAATCAAAAGACATAAATCCATAAATATGAGTCTACAAATAACTCATGATTAAGATCATTTTATATATGACCATCGACAGACTCAATTAGAATTTCTATACTTAACAGAAATTATCAGAAATTCATATTATGTATGTGTCCCTGTTTCACATAATCTCATTATGTGTAATACAATCATTCAATATCTCGTTATATTAACAGTGCGGATAACACCATTCCATTTTAAATGGGAATGACATGTATTAGTAATGTTTTACTTAAAGATTTCAAACTTTAATTAAATTCATTACGAACATCATTTTGATTATTATCCTTAAATATTATCCTCTCACATAAAATACTTATATACAATATTTAAGGTCACATAAATAATCATAGAATTTTCACTGATATTCATAAAATATTCGATAATATATGCACATAAAATAATGAATAAACTCTTTTATTAAATAAATAATAACGCCTTATTCATTTCACTGATTCGAGTTTTGTTACAGTAAAAAGCTCTCAGAAACAGTCACATATAACTTTTTTGCTACAGTAAAAACTCTCACATAAAGTCACATCTCAACTCAAATTACAAACTCGAAGCAACGAACTAAACGGACCATAAATGTCCTATTACATCTCATGCTTCTAGGACACCATTTCCAACACATATAGTGGCTAGTTTTATAGAGTGAGGAAAAGGAAAATTTTCTCTCAAATTTCACGTCATGCATGTGTTGATTTTCATGAAAAATTTTAGTATTTGAGTGCTTATCCCGTTTTGTTTCAGGTGTGCCTAGTCACACGTCTTCGTAGATTCAAAGAATTGACGAGTAAGATTCTGGTATTCTAAACAAGCTTAGAGCAAGGAACGTTTATGGTCAAAGAACTTAAGTTATCGACCTAATCGTTCACTAGGTGAATTTATTCATAAATAAATTTGATTAATTTATTCGTGCATAAATTAACGTATTCCGTAGAGTATCTCAAAAATTTATTAAAATTTTTATTATACATAATCCGTTAAATACACGCTTTCACATAAAAAATTGTTTTCAAAACCAACATCCACTTCATTAGTTTCTTTTCCTTTCTCAATTTATCTTTGTTAAAATAAATTTTTTTACAAATGTATCATCACTTACATATTTTCAATTTTCCTTGTACTTTTTCTTTTTAAATATGTCTTTCTAAAATATACTTCTTTTACACTCTTTTAAATGTTTACTTCATCAAATTGACCTTCAAGTTTCGTTCCCATTTAATTTTTTCAGCTTTTATTGCTTTTGTCATTTTTTTTTTGCTTCTTCTTGCTCTATTTTCTTCATTACCCCAATAAAAAAATTTTTATTTTTATTTTTTTGAAAGGCAATAGCATAACTTCATTAAAAAACCACTAAAGGGCTAAATATATGACAAAATCAGAGTCAAGAATCAGGTGATACTCATATGATTAGACAACATGAACACACTATTTACCTAATAACAGAGATAACCCCTCCAACTAGTGCACTATAACAAGGTTCGACCACTTCGAAATGACTCCAAATGAACACATCTCAATCCCAAAATTGACTAAATAAAATTTTTATTTTAAAATGTGATTTATTGAAATTTTGTTTTCATTGAGCTAAACTCTGAAGAGAATAACATATACAAAAAAGTAAATTAAACTTTAAAATAAATTTTAAATTTACATATTTAAAAAATATAATATAGTATATACTTAATACTCCCGTGTAGCGCTTGTTTTAAAACTAGACTTCTAAACATATATAAAAGAGCAAAAGAAAGTTGTTTCTCCTTTTACCACGTGTCAACGTCTCATAATTATTCTTTTATTTTACGTCAACTTCTCTCTCTACTCTTAAAACGAGCGCTGTTTTTTTTTTTTCTTTTCCTCCAATTAACTTTTTCTTCTTCCTGGTTCTTTTGCCATTCACATAGTTTCTGTGGATCTACTTCTCTCCTCATGCTTGGAGTCGGGAATTTTTTTTCCTTTCAGGTTTTGCTCTCCGCTGTTCTCTTCTTAAGCTTTTATTTTATTTTGTTTTGTTTTGGGGATTTTGTTTATTATAGGTTTGGGTTCTACTGTAAATGTTGGGGATTTCGGATTTGGGTTTCGCTTTGGTTTTTGGGTTGCCCTCTTTCGTGCTTCATCGTCAACTTCCCCGGCCTCTCCTTTCTCTGTCTTTTCTTTTTTCTCTTCCCTGTTTCTCTATGGTTTCTTTGTTGAGATTCCCCTGGTCAGCCCTAGGATTTGTTTTTTTTTTTTTTCCCTCAGATTCCTTTGCTTGTACCTTTTCTCTCTCTGTTTTTTTTAGGGATTTGTTTGCGCCTAAGAGAGGTGGATTTTTGGCTGTGGATGTCTGAAAAGTCTTGGGTCTAGATGGTGGCCTTTGGGTGATTCTTCTTCAATGTCTGAGGCGACGTCCTTTCGCTCGTTAGAATCGCCATCGACTTGATTGATGTTGTCGACGACTACATTTCGGTGACGAACTCTACTACTTAATCAATTCCTTTTTTTTTTGTTTGTATGTTTAGTTCTTGAGAAAATGGAAAAAAAAATTGAAAGATTTGGGTTTTTTCTCAACTATTATAAGCTATAATAAAATATTCTCCATACACTTTTGTTTTGTTTATGGTAGGCATGATCATTTGTTTGCCGTGTCCAGAAAAATTTGGTTAAATGAAGGTTGTGATTTTTTTCGAGGAAAATGAAGGTTTTGATTAATGATGGAAGAAAAAAACAAAAAAAGAATAGGAAAGGGAAAATGAACTATATCTAAACTAAAAGCAATATAATCGGAGCATTTTAACTAAAATGGATTGTGTTGTAGTTCTTTATAAAATTATCTTTCAATATAAAGTTGTTTGTTTGTTAACAATACATTTATATGGATGTTTTCGTTATGGGGTTTCTATTCTGAATCATTTATGGATTCTAAACTACAGCCAGTTTAGAAGCTGCTCTGTTAGGTTCTATTAATGCATTTTGGGTTTCTTTTTAGTTACCAAGAGTATTTTGACTAGAGTGATTCTTTTTTCCCTATCATGAGATCTTTTTTCTTTGGTTGTCTAGGATAAGAAAAGCGATCTTTTTCTAGGAGGCTTTGTTTTGGAGGATGGAAGCACTAAAGGAGGCCCAAAAGATCGATTGACCTCTGTTTGCACTTGGTGATGTTATATCTGCACTTGTTTCCACATTCCATCACTTATGGTCCAAAGTTTGCTACTCTAAGTACTTGGTTAGGACAAATATTCGAGGTAAACTCAAAGAAGATAAGTAAATGATTTGAAGTTGTGAATTGATTTATAGTTTTGGTTGTATGCACTCAAAATATTATGATATCCTTTCTCCATTTGCACATTTAAATAGAGATCACGTTCATATGTATTTAGTTTTTATTTCTCTCGCTGTTCCTTACCATTTATCTTTCATTTTAATTGTAATTGTGACAACAATAGAAATTGAATTTGTTTTTGGAAAGATATACTAATATTTGTGTTGTCTAACGTAATGCTTTAAGCATGTGTTTTCTTTGATTCTTTTTCTGCGGTCCTTTTTTTTTTTTTTTTTTTTTGTGGCTGCTCATCAAACTGCAAGGGAAACAACTCAAGGAGACCCAAAAGATCGATTGACCTCTATTTGCACTTGGTGATGTTATATCTGCACTTGTCTCCACATTCCATTACGTTATAGAAGTATAGATTAGTCACTTGTTTATTTACTTCAAACGTAAACACTACTTATTCGGCATTAGGGCTTATTAATTCCTTTTTCCATTTACTATGGACGAACGCCAAGCTCACCCATTTGCTGCAAGACACTTTAGGCAATAGCTATAAAGTTTGCAATACAAGTTGGAGGCATCTCAAGTTGTTTTAAGATTTTGAAACTTATCCTTACTTTTTTTCCCTATTTAATTAGCAAAAAGGATTTTGTTCAAACTGTAGTTTTATTTTTCACATCATGAAGTTTTGAAAAATAAATCTCTGATGAACTTGTCATACATTTGTTAGGAGGAGATCCAGAGATGCTCATGTTTGTGCAGATCCAGTTGTTCAGCATCTTGGACTAGCCATCCTTCTATGGTATTGTTGATCATCAATTCCTAATCAATTGGATGTAACAGTTGCTTGCTGGACGCCAGTCTTTATTTGATCCAGGATGTGTGATGTATATGCTATTCCGAAGTGATTTATTAATCTACTAATAAGTCGTTTTAAAGAGATTTATTTGAGTGAGACCTTTGGTGGGAAATTCAAGAAATGAAAAAGTTATGTTGTGCCTTGCGACAAACACTTTTTGTACACAAAGAGAAGTAGGAAATTCAAGAAATGAAAAGTTATGTTGCTTTCTTTCTTTCGTAGCTCTAAATTATTCGTGCGTTCTATTCTAAATTCTTTCTTTTGAATTATTTGAAGATACTTATTCTCTATTGTTTCAAATTCTTTCTTTTATTAATTCTCTAGATCACTCAGTATTTTTCCTAGACCTCGTAGCATAAGTTGGCATTATATAAGTCTCAAACAATGGATTTTCTTAAGATAAGTTATGATGTAGGCTTTTTACTGCATTACAGGACCAGGTTTCTTCATGTGATCAAGATACATTGCACTGCTGGTGGAAGAGGTTCTGGGGACTAACTCTTATAAACGGCATGCATAGCAAGAGGTGTGATCTCTTCAGTGGGAATTTTCCATTAGAAAGTCATTGATTTTGCTTGCTCGTCACTCTGTTAATTAGCTTGGGAATAAACTGGTCATGCCTTAATTATGTGTAAAAATATTTCAGGCTATTTTGCGGTCCTCAGAGTTTCAGCTGAAATTTAAAACCTTGTTTCATCTCTCATTTAAAGAGTTGTTGCATCTCATGTAAGATTCCTTAATATCGGTTTATTTACAAAAGTTTATATGTTTAGCAAGGTGTATACATATGTATATTTTTATAAGAAACAAAGAATTTTATTCAAGAGAATGAAAAGAACAATGTCAAACAAAATCAAGATGGACGAGATATCCATCGAAAAGCGAAGGAAACGGTTTGTCTTGGTGTATATGGGGAGAACGAAATAAGAAAAATTATGGTACCAGCACTAATCCTCCATCTTGTGTTGTTCATTGGTCTCTTAATTTTACTTCAGTCTCGAAGGGTGTTCACAACAGTGTCAAATGCATGATCTTTTGCAGAATGGATGCTACCAGCTTCTGATAGACTTGAGTTTTAAAGTTATGGTTTTAGGGTCATTGTTGGAGACTTAACTGGGTTTGTGATAGTGATTCTTGTTAAGAAAATTTTAGAGGTTTTTTCACTTAGAAAAAACAAAAATTTAAAGCATTACAATTCAAAAGTTGAACCTTAAGTTTTTGTGTACAATTTACTATTCTTGAATTTGCTAAAGTTGTGACTTCTTTTTATGGCGAGGAAGAGGCAAATAACAATTTTTTTAACTTGTTTGAAGTATGAAACATGTATTAAAATATTTGAAGTAGATGCCGTATTTACAGGTAAAAAAATTATTAATAGATTATCTATCATTAGATGTGCTATTTACTTTAGAATATTCTAAAACATAAATAGGTAATAAAAAATTATTATTTACTGCAATTTTTGTTTTTTAATACTACACTAAGCGTCCAAGTGTGCAACGCACGCGTTTTAACTAGTCTATCTAATAGAAAGCAGAAAATTTTTTACTGTTTTCAACCAAAATGGTTCAATCAAAACACGGTTGTTTTGGTTGAAAACAGTATAACTTTTGTGCGTGTTTGGAATTAGTTCTGAAAACGTTTTTCACATTTTTTTAGGAGGAAAAAATGAAAATGAACAGAAAATGGCGTTTGGAGCAACCCAAGACAAAAAACATAAACAAAAACACCCTTTTGGTTTGTTTTTTGTTGTTGTTGTTGTTTTTTTTTTCCGTTGTGATGCCGTGAAAGGGTCAATTGATTTTGAAGGAATTAGGTCGGCGGTCGTGATCAATTGCTCCAGAGATTTATAAAGGGCAGGCAATGTGCAGTCAGGAAAGCTCACCCGTATTTTAAATCATAGATAATTTGCATTGTAAGTTTGTTTTTCTCTTAATTTCTAAATTAAAATTTGTTTTTTATTCTGGGTCTATCCTTTCTCCTGCTTGTGGATTTATTTTATTTTCTGCTGATGGTACAAATTCCTGTAGGTATTGCAATCTTTTTTTGCTTTTTCCCTTGTTTGTGCTTTTGATTGTGTTTAATCTGATGAACAAAAGAAAAAGGGGTTGCGAATGGAAAACAGCTGCTGTTTCTTCTTTCATATTTTGTTTGTCGCTTATGTTGCCTCTGTTTATAATGATTGTTTGTTTTATGGGAGCTGAGAAAAAAAAAAAGGATGTAGTCTTAATTTCTTGTGCATTTTTTGGCTTGGAGATAGACTTTTATCTGCTGATTCTGTTTTTCGTTTGAGTGTTTGGTTGCCTGGAATGATTAGCATTATGAGCAAGAACAAATCCTCTCTGGTCTGACGCTCAAAGAAATGTGATGGTATTATTCAATTGCCACGGATTACTGGTTTGGTTCCCAAAATTAGCGGATCTGAGAATGGACTTTTGTAGATGTTTTTTTCTAATATAAAGTGGTTTGCTTATTATCAAATATCAATGGACTTATATAGTTGTTCTTATGGGTTTTAAAATCTAAATCTAATAAGTTAATTTGTGATGTGGTAATAAACTGTGGCCGGTTCGGAAGCTGCTCTAATAGGTTGAGTCGATAAATTGTCAGGTCTGTTCTTTTTTTAGATGAACAACCTTGTTCTTTTCTTCCTTCTAACTGTGAGGTGCGAAGCACGTGGCTTCAAACTAGTATCTATATAATAGAAAGTGGAACGCGCACAGTAATGAGCTCTGATTTATTTCTTTATTTATTTTAAGCTTCTCCCCCCTTTTTTCTCTCCCCTTTCCGGTGGTATTCTAAAACTATACTTTTTTTGGTGGTCTTTTTTTTTTTACTTTTTTTATTCTCTTAAAACTTTATTTTTTTTTTTTGTTTTCTCCTTGAAACTTTATTTATTTTCCGTTTTAGTTCTATATTTCTTCTTTTTTTAATTTTTTTTTTTTTTTTTTTACCTTGAAGTGCTACAACAGTGTTTTCTTTCTTTGCTCCTTAAGGTTTTTATCCCTTTCATTTTAGCCCTTTTCTTTCCCTTTTTTTGCCTACTTGCCCTAACATTTAATTTTTTAAAATTTTAATTTCTTTTTGGTTTTTATATGCTTTTAATAATAACACGATAATTAAAACTTAATACATGATTACTCCCAACTCTATAGTGGTGAACAGTGTCAGTGCTGCTACAATGGGGTTTTTTTTTTTTTTTTCCTCAAGGTTTTGTTCTCCTTTCACTTTAGGGCGCGTTTGGTTGCAGTAGCGGAATGATAATGAGAATGATAATGGAATGGAATTAAAATGTACCGGAATCATAAACTGGTTCTTTAGTTTGGTTGGACTTATGGAATCAATATCTGAATGAGGATTATACCGTTACTTGACAACAGATGGAATGGAAGTAAACTGTATTTTGATAAAAATACCCTTGATTAATAATCTTAAATAATTAAATATTTAATTAATTAAAATAATAAAAAATTTAATTATTGAAAAAAACTTTTTATTTGAATAAAATTATTATACATACTACTAAAGGAGGTTGGAAAGTTACTGTACTAAGTACAATGATCTTCTGATTTTATCTCTTTTATTTTCTGTTGAATTCTTTTTTCTACCGTCTATGTCCTTTTAGAACAGTGATTTTCTGATTTTGCCCTTGTTATTTTTTGTTCACGTTTTTTTAATACTGCAGAGTGGTGGGACCACATTTTATTTTTACTGTTTTGTCCTCAAATTTTTTCCTTCCCGTGTTTTTTTGCTGGGCATTTTTGTCATTTGCTGTGGTGGGTTATGTTTAGTGTCCTCGAGAAGCTTTTTGCTTCTTTCACTTGTTTTCTGTTTAATTTCTCTTTTACCGAGGCTCTGTTGCTTCGTTTCCTATGCGATGGGGTTTTGTTTACTCTCCTCGAAGCTTCTTGCTTCTTTCATTTGTTTCCTGCTTAATTTCTCTTCTACCGAGGCTCATTTTCTTCGTTTTCTCTGCGATGGTTCTACCGAGGCTCATTTGCTTCGTTTTCTCTGCGATTGTTTTTGTTTAGTTTGCTCGAGAAGCTTCTTGCTTCTTTCATTTTTTGATTCTACGTCTGCATCTAATGTTTCTTTCACCGATGTTCTTCTTCTTCGTTTCCTCTTCATGAGTTCTTTTCGTTTTCTTTGTGGTTTTCTCTGGTTTATTATGTTTTGGTTCTAATTTTTTTTCTCATTTTATGTTTCTGGATTTTGTTGCATTTTTCGTAGGGTTTATTTCCTATTTTTCTTTTATTGACAAATGGGTTAAGGTTTTTGTGGGTTTCATTTTGGTTTATTTTTTTTGTTTTATATATTTTTTCCCTTTTCTTTCTTTCTTTCTCTTCGTAAGATTTTTGGGAATCATTGTTAATGTTTGTTTTGTTTTGTAGTTTTGTTTTTTGGTTTTTTTTAGATTTGGTTTCCTTTTTTTTATTTTTTGATTCATTTTTTTTTGGTTTGTTTTTTCAGATCATCCCGTTTATTTTTCTAGATCTGTTATTGTTTTTGTAGTTTCGGTTTTCTTTTTTTCCCGGGGTTTTTTTTTGTTTTTTTTTTTGTTTTTTTTTTTTTTTTTTTTTTTTTTTAGATCTGGACATGTTTTTGCTTTATTTTGTTCCCTGTTTTTAAACTTTTTTTTTATTTTACGTTTCTGGTTGACTTCTTTTTTTTTTTTTTTTTTAATTTTTCCTATTCGGTTTTTCTTTTTTTGTTCTTTCAGATCTGTATGTGTTTTTCTTTCATTTTGTTCTGTCTTTTTTTTTTTTTCCATTTTTCTAGATCTGTTAGTATTTTTGTAGATTTAGTTTTGTTTTTTTTATTTCGGTTATTTTTTCATTAGATTTTCCAAATAATAAATCTTTACTTTTTTTTTCTATTTTCGTCAATTTTTATTCATTTATTGGTTATTACGTTGTCTAACACCTGTTTTTACTAATTATTACATGTTTTTATATTTGTTTGCAGGTTATATTAGTCGGGAATATTTAGACATTTATTTTTTTGTACAGGGTAACTCTTTTTAATGAGTTAATCTTTGTCTCTCTCTACAGGTTTTTCATTCTATTCCACGGTAATTATCATGCAGCGTAACACCTGTTTTTTACAAATTATTACGTTTTTTTTTACTCTTTGCAGGTTCTTCATTGTGTTCCACAGTTGTTATCATGCAGCGTAACACCTGTTTTTAACAAATTATTATGCTTCGTTTATAGTGTAACAACGGTGATGTTAAGTTTTGTTTCCAGTATTTACCACTGCCACACACTTGAAAGTTTATTTTTTTCCCTATAAATATATTGTTTCCCCTTTCACGTTCATTGTCTTCTGCTTTGTTTCTGTTTTCGTTGTGATACACTTATCGTCTATCCTCTTTGTTTCTTTTCTTTTCTTCATTTTTCAATAGTTAGTTTTTTCCTTTCCTTTTTCTGTTATCTCTGTTTTGGAGTTTTTTTACTCTTGCTGCATCAACTGTATCCACTTTCATCGTTATTCCAATGTATTATTCTTTTACTTTTTCCATATTATTTTTAATTGTTCTTAAAATTGTATATATTATATTATTATGTTTTTGTTATTGTATATATTCAACTGTAAATATATGTGTTCATTGTTTTATGTTATTATGATTATATTTGTACTAATTCTAACATGATTTCTTATTTGGTAATGATGTAGTATTTTTCTTTTATTGTTACCATGTATTGAATAACTGTTTATAATGAAATAGCAAGCCTTGACGTTGCCTGGATTATTTAAGATTTATATATATATATTTTATTTAGTTTTGTCAATAGTATACTATTTTTATTATCATTTTGTACTCTTAAAATGATTTGTTCTTCATCAGATTTTGCTAGAGGGTTTTCATTCTATTTCTTTACTACCGTCTCTATTGTTGGTTTGCCAATTTAAGTTATTTTATGTCGGTTTTTTCCCCGTTTCTTCTTCCTTTCTTAATCTTTATAAATCTTTTTAATAATTCAGCTGGCACTGAAGGGCATTGTTAAATCTTATTTCAGTTACTTCTAATGCGTGATGTTAGCAGCCTTGACGTTGCCCGGATTATTTAAGATTTATAGTTTTTATTTATTTAGTTTTGTCAACAGTATACTATTTTTATTATCATTTTGTACTCTTAAAATGATTTGTTCTTCATCTGATTTTGCTGGAGGGTTTTCATTCTATTTCTTTACTACCATCTCTATTGTTGGTTTGCCAATTTAAGTTATTTTTATGTCATTTTTTCCCCCGTTTCTTCTTCCTTTTTTAATCTTTTTAATAATTCAGCTGTCACTGAAGGGCATTGTTAAATCTTATTCCAGTTACTTCTAATGCGTGATGTTAGCAATTAAAGACAGATACCTGAACCAAAATGTTCATATTTATTCATTTAATTTCCTCATCTAATTTTTTAAACTATTATTTATGCATCTAACTATTTTAAATAAGATTTTTGATATTTTATCTTTATTATTTTTCCCCATTCTATGTGCTTCTTAATTTGTCACTACTACAATATCTATTACTTTCTTGCTGCCATTGTTAATGTGTTAAAAAGAAGCTTTTTAAGTTTCCGTTTTTAGTTCCTCAATTATTTTCTTCAGCATTTTCACATTTGTCTTCTGTTGAATTGTTGCAGTGCTTTGAGAAAGTTGTTTCAAAGAATTATCTTTCTTCTAAGGTATTTGTTTCTTAATTCTTTCATGTTATTTCTGAATGTCCTTTAAATTTTATGTATTATATTACTATGTTTTGTTAAGTGTTTATAATAAGTTATTAATATATATGGTCATTGTTTTATATATTTATAATTATATTTGCAATAAGTTCTTATATTAATCTGCTAATATTTTCTTTTGATGCAGAGGACAATTTTTATGTAACATTTATAAATATATCTTCATCTAATTTTACTCAAGAGTTTTTCATCTACTGTTTTTATCACTACCTCTATTCTTGGTTCGTCAATTGAATATATTTATTTGTTTATGGAACAAATCAGTAGATTTAGTTCCAATCACACAGTTGTAAATATTCTTTTATGGTTTTTATATTTGTATTATTTATGTCATCGAAATATATATATTTTTTTACATTGTTAGTACAAAATCTGTAATAATTTAGTTAGCATATGTTATTAGTAGTGAAATATAAAGACTTAAACTATTATTTAACTTTGTTAAACGGACAATTTTCATTTTAGTCCTTAAATGTTGCTTCTGTTATTAATTAATCAATTCTCTTATTACTTCATCAATTGAATATTTTTGTAGTAGAATATTTTTTCCCCTACGTTTTTTTTCTTCTTAAATAATATTAAAACAAAATAACATTTAAAATTTTAGTTCCAAAACATTTATATGAAAATATTGTTTACATCTTTCTAAACAATATCTGTGACACCCCTTATATACCATCTCCTTCAAACGTTTTAGTTCCTTGCCAACAATCCTAAATACGTGCCACAATCACTAATCTTCACCTGTCACTTATGTGAAAACTATGGTGTTTCATTTTTTTTTTTTTGCTTAAACAAAATTTCGTTAATACACCATTCCCATCAAGTTTCCTAGCCACAATTAAAATTATACAATCATCCAAGGTTTATGAGTTTAACTCCAAAATATATATGTTTACAAAACCAAAATAATCCGTGTGCAGCTTCTTTGGTCCAACCATATGTACAGCGGTCAACGAAGCCAGCTCCCCTGCTTACTGTTCTGCTTTGTTCTTACCTTTACCTACAGCACATAGCAAACTTTAATGAGCTACAAGCTCAGTAAGTAGAGCTACAATCACACAATCTTATTTTAACATGCTCACACATTGCAACATCATAGGTAACTTATGCCAATCAATCTTACACTTTATGCACGTGCACTACATATCACTAGGGCCCTCCCGGTACTGCCGTCGGCTTTTTCACAATCTGGCCACATGCCAATATTTCAAATCACAATATCAGGTTCCCCGTCATCACCCACCTAGTTCGAGGGAACGGCCAGCACATTCAAAATCATAATTTCTCAATATCATAATATAGTCTCTGTCATCACCCACTTGGTTCGAGAGACTTGCGTGGCTCAATCATAATTTCATCAATCACCACATCACAATAGAAGTCCTTTGAGGACTTGGCAGTACCGGCCTAACATGCATGTTGTTAGGTGCTCAATTACAAGTAATCTTCACAATCATACACGTTGAAAATGTCATAAAAATTCACATAACGGCATACTAGACATTCCATAGAAAGTCTATCAAACAAAGTTTGTAAGTGCTGCAGAAAAGTCAAACTCCACTTACCTGCGTTGCTTAGCAAAATCTGCGTTTAACCCTCTTCGTTTCCCTTGTTTGTTTTCCTTTCCACTGTTCAAAATAGACAAATTGGCCACCGTCATTAGAGCTCAATAGCTCAGCCATAAATCAGTTTCTAACTCATAATCACTTTCTCCTGAAATTGGAATTTCACTGATTCGTCCATCTTTAAAAGAAAATTCATAAGATATTCTTTTTGTCTTTAAAAATTCCAAAATTAACTTCAAAACAAAGTAGACATGTATATCTTTCCAACGAACTACCATATGTCTCAATCCGACATCTCTAAGTACCTTAAAAACAGTTTCCACGAAATCACAATTCTGTTTTTTTTTTTTTCTGTTTTTGACAGTTTTTTTAGAAAGTTTCTATATGAAACTTCCTATGCGCACAACTTGAGCCACAAAACTCCAAATGAGGTGATTTCAACTCTCACACATCACTAATAACCTGTTCTAAATGGTGGCAAAGGTGGTTTAAGTGCAGCACTCTCATTTCAAAAAGTAGGTACTTTAGTTCTTTATTTTATTGATTTCTGGAATTAGCACTTTTACGATTGCTACAAGAATATCCACAAAGTATTCTATTGTAGCGACCCTCCTTTGAGGCCGCCACTGTAACTAACTTTTTAACTTGTACTTACTGAAATTTCTTAAAATTTACGGAAGATTTTTTTTTTAAAGGTCTTATAATAAACATAA